GTATCCCTGCTCTAAACCTCAGCAGAACTCTCCTGCGAGAGGCTGCTGGCCGCCTGCTACCTCTCCCAGAACCGAGCCTAGGACAGAGGGTAGTCTAGCTGGGAAGGAAGTCCTGGTCCGCCCGCTCTCAGACACGCTTCCGCCTCGGTGGACGGACCTCACAGGGTCATCTGCAGCAGCCGCAGCTGTGAGGTGCGCGGACTCCCCCACTGGACCCATGGGACAAAGGTCAAGGCTGTCCCGTCGGAACAGCAGGCCACCTGGAAAGCAGAGGTCACCTCTCCCACCTCTCAGGCTCACTCGAATTCCTGAAGGAGACTCTAACTCTCAGTCTCTAAGATTTCTTTTTCATTATGAGAAGTCTAATTCCTCTTTGCTTACCTTCACTCCTACGCCAATCGGCTGCTGCAACTCTATGGCAAAATAACTCCATTTTCCAAACTGCGAGCTCTGTAGGACGTCACATTTTCAGATCCTCTAATACTTCCCAATGGGTCTGCCCCCAACAACCTTCCCGTGGGAAGACTCCTGACCTCAGAGGCACCCCAGCCAACCGAGCCGACATCATTTACAATCCACCTGTTCTGGGGGGAAATCTGACCCTGATCCTCATCTAGTTATCTCCATTGAGCGCAAGGCAAATCCCACACCTGTGTGCATCTCCCCCAGGCTGTTCTAGCCACCAGTCTTCTACTCCCGTCATAAACCCAGGGGACAGGCATTCTTGCACCCCACCTTATTTGCTGGGGATGGGCAGCACCTGAACACCTTTATGTCACTTTCAGCATGATGGCTACATGACGATTTTTAACACCACCAACCCCAGCCACGTTGTACTCAACCCAACATACCAAGCAGGCACCACGTGTAACATCTCTCACTATAACCTTACGAGGGGTGTCTGTAAACTAACTATTCATAATATGCCTAACCCCTGCAATGAGAGTGTACACATGCAAGCTCAGAAAGACTTCAAGCAATGTCAGGAACATCATCCCAGGGAAATTCGCCGCTATCCAGGTGCAGTTCCGCCGGTGGCACCAGCCCTCTCCTCCCTGTCATGGTTTAATCCTTCGAGCCTTCCTGTGGGCCTATCAAACACCTCCCTCGGCCCAGACAGGACTGCACTGCTTTGCTTACCAGCGGGAATGATGTTTTTAGGTGCACTTAACATTTCTGCCCCCAGGAGAGGAATTGCTATTCAATGTCTAAACCCAGAAAAACAGGGTGGTTTATGGGCAGTAAGATATGTCACCCCAGCCAATACCCTAATCCATTCCTTATCCCTAATTCAACCTCATCAAGCCCTGAGCCCAGAATCCTTCATAGGGCAAAAAGGGAAGTTGGACTCATAGCAGGAGAAGTAGCTGCAATTACCACCGGGGGCCTCATAAGAGGAATTACTTATAATGCCATAACAGCGGAAAACATAACCATCACCATGGCAAATATAGGTAGAGATACAGGAGAAAATTTCAAACTTCTTTCAAAATCCCTCCACTCTCTTGCCTGCATGGTGATAGATAATCGCATCGCACTAGATTATCTACCAGCCAAAGAAGGGGGCGTATGCACGACAGCAAATACATCTTGTTGCTTCTATGTTAACTGGCCAGGTCGAGGAGAGGACACAACAAATTCTAGACAATTCCCAGGGGCTAAAATAATTCAGTCGGGATCACCTAGCCCAGTCTATCTGGACAAGTCTAGAGGCAGCCTTGCCTACACTAACCTGGCTGCTCCCCTTCATAAGGCCCCTAGTATTAGCCTTCTTATTATTGCTGTTTAGGCCCTGCCTCTTACGCCTGATTACAAGGTTTGTACAAAATCGACTGCAAATTTTAGTCAACCAGTTGGACAATTTGTTCTAGCACAGGTAAAAGGACCCCATCCCCCAAGAAGTTATCTAACAAGTTCTTTTCAGGAGTCCACGACAACCCCACACCTGCAGGAAGTAGACAAAGAGAAACTTCGCCCCTTTTCCCTTTTTATCATCATTATAAGATGGGAATGAAACAGCTAATAATGTTTAAAAGGGTAAAGGCAATAGCTTGCAAAAGGCAGAAACTGAAAAATGCATTGCTTGCATGACCTTTGCTTAGCCTTCTGTTAAGTATAGATTATCCGCAAGACCATGAATCACCCAGCAGATGCACAAAGTGATACCAGCCCAGTCCAACAGCAAAGTGAACCACAGGCCATGCAGAGTACAGCAGGAACTGCTGGAAATTAGAAGCAGAGAATATAACCCGACTTCAACTGTTGTTCGGGGCTGACTCCCTTTTTGGGCTCAGTCCACCGGCACCCAGGTGCTTGCAATAAAGTCATTTTTCTCGACATTGGCCTTGCGTTGTGGATGTGATCTCCCACCGGCTCAGACCTTTTAGGATGGACTTTGGGGATTCATGATCAAAAGGGGAGACTCATTTTTATTTCATAATGATCTCACTCTAAACCATGCCAAATGCCCGAATCTGCTCATTTTCCTGTGTGGCCATGTGGATACTCTGTATCTCAAACCCATCCACAAAAAACAGCTCAAGCCAGCATTCCCAGAGAACACTATCTCTGCATCCTTAGAAAAAAGCGGGGGCCCACACCCCTCCACTCACTCTTGGGGCGAAACACTCTGCTTTGGAAGCCATTATGTCAACAGTGATGAGAACGGCAGCAGAAACAGAAGTTGCCACTTTGGATCCCCTGCTCTGTGCCTGTGCCCACACGGGCTCGAGCCTGGCCCAGTGTCCTTGATGCTCCCAATGAAAAGACACGCCCAGAGTCACTAAGAGGATGGCTTCATTTCCTCCTGTCTTCAGTGAGGCACTGAGACTAGAGAAACTTGCTCAAGGACACACCTCAGGAAGGGAGAGCTGGGCATGTGTGCCCGCAAGTCCTGTGCACTTGGCCATGGGGTCACCTCACCAGGCGCTCCCTGCAGATCAGAGCAAAGCAGATGAGTCTGTTCTGATTCCGGCTCAGAGCAGCCACAATGCAGCCGGGGCTCCTAAGCGTCCTCCCTGGCCCCTGCCACCTCTGGGTTTCACGCCCTGTCTGAGCCAGTCCTGGGGTCTAACCTCCATCCCAACCCCGGGGTGGGGGCAAGGGGCTCTGGGGAGGGTCTAACAGCGAGTCCTCAGAGCAAACACACAGTGACAGAGCTCCTCCTTGGCCGAGGCGGCTGCACATCGCCCGGGGCTAGGTGTGGGCTCTGGAGTCACCCCAAGATCAGAAACCTGCCTCCCTCCCTTGACTAGCTTCGCCGTCTGGGGCCAGTTCTCCAACTTCTCTGCGCTTCTGCTTCGTCTGTGAAATGGCTCAGTTGGGTGGGCGTCGTTCTGTGCACCAGCATGTCGCCAGTTTGACTCCGGCTCAGGGCACATACCCAGGTTGCGGGTTCAGTCCCTGCTACCCTGGTAGGGGTGTGTACGGGAGGCAACAGATCCAGGCTTCTCTCTCTCTCCTTCCCTGCCCTTTCTAAAAAAATAAAAAAAGTGAAAAGAGAAAAGCAGCACCTCTCTCTCCAGCCTGGGTGTGGGGTCACATCAGCTGATCACCTGCCAAGAGCTCAGGAAAGCAGCTGGTGAGGTCAGGGCCCAGAAAGCGCCCACTCGTTATTGTCATTACAAAGGTACCATCGCTGGAAACGCTTGCCAGCCACCCACTTTAAAAGGAAACGATTTGTCCAACAAATTCCCATACTTGGACCGTATGTGATTCGAAACGACCTATCAGAATGGGACGCTGATTTATTCTTGGCTCAGCATTGAACTGTAATCAGCTAGAACATGACACATGGAAAGAAGTCCAACCTCCCAGTGAGGTAAGCGCGGGCTTCCCGGCCAGACGGGGACTCTGCCATTTAAGTGTGAGTCACTAGAACTGGGGAGAGCCCTCGGGTGCCCTGGAGGACAGGAAATTCCAGGGCAGAAAGGAAGCAAGGAGAGTAAGGAGGTGTGAACCTGCTCCAGTGCCCAGCTGTCCCCACCGCCCTCAAGGACCCTCCACCACCCTGCTTCCTAACACAGCTGCTCAAACCCTTGGACTCTCCGAATTGACAACTGTCCCTCCTTTTGTGTGCCTACGAGATCACTCCCTAATAGCTCAGGATGGGTGCTGGTGGCCAGGGGAACCGACCATGCGAGGAGAGGGTTGGGACTTTCACTACCCCTCCCCCCACTCCCACCCCTGGGAGAAAAGAGGGACAGAGAGTCTAGAGACTGGATTAGCCTCCAGGGGCAGTGGGAATCAATCATGTGTACACAGTGACACCTCCCCCCAAATTCTCCTGCGGGGTTTTGGAGAGCTTTGGGGCGGGCCAACAGGTGGAGGTGCTGGGAGGGTGTTGTGCCCTGTCTCCTCTATCCTAGCCATTACTGTGTAACAAATAGTACATATCCGTCAATGTTTCTCTGAGTTCTACGTGCTGTTGTATCAAATGGTTGAACCTGAAGAGGGAGTGGTGGGAAGCCCTCATTCACAGCAAAGTCGAGCTCAGTGTGTATAACCTGGGCACACGCTACCTGGCAATTGCCGTCTGTAGTAGCGGGCAGTCTTGCGGGACTGAGCCCTTAATTTGTGGGGTCTGCTCTCACCCCTGCAGATAGATCAGGAATGACTGGTAGGACACCTCGCTGGCACTTCGGAATTGGCTGGTGTGCGTAAGAGCCCACACAGCTGGTCAGAGAAGCGTTCGAGAAGCATCGAGTGTGAGCAGAGGATGAAGAGTCGCCCCTTTTCATAGCCTGAATCCCAGAGCCGGTCACCGATGGGAGGAAGGGTCTCCCATGGCATGCTGGGATTGCTGCTATTTTGTCGATAAGGGTTTGTTCAGTGGGTATTTTCTCCATGTCCTACACTTTTATTTGGCGTGTGAAGATGCTTCTTGATTACTAAGTCAGAGTAGAAATCGGGATCAGCGATGGACATTGGGTGTCCTCAGACACCAGCCGAACTTCACTGGAAGGAAAAGGAAGGTGAGCAGAGACAGACAGGGCCGGTACCTGTGAGCCTACTGGGTATGAAGAGCAGCTCCTTCTCCTTCTGCAGCCGGTCATGGACGCTCTCGTAGTCTGCAGGTCTCACAGCCACGAAATCTTCAGCCACGGGAGCCAAGCCCGAGAGCAGCTGCTCCGCAGCCTTGACCTTGAGCAGCTCTTCCTCGTCCTGCATCAAGTTCAACAACAACAACATCACGCTAGACGATTCGTTTACGCAGCAAAAGTAATCAGCGGTATTAAACTCATCAAGCAACACGCCCTACAATCAGGTGACCTTTTCTTTTCATGTATCTGTTTTTAAATGCAAACATAAAACTACGTGTCTTTTCAAATTTACCAAGTGCATTTTCCTGGTGAACGGGCCACGTGGAAACCAACCTTCCCGACTGCAGTCAAGTCTTGAGATGACTGCGGTCTTGACCACCTTGTCCGCGATCTCGCGAGAGGTCCTGAACCAGAACACACTGAGTATTGATTTGTAAAACAATTATTATATTCCCAAGCTGCCGGAGACCTAGCTAGGTAAGAAATTACATTTCTGGGAGACATTTTTTCAAGGCAAGCGATTAAAAGGGAAGCACAGAACTAGGCAAACTGAAAATTCTGAAATGTTCTGGTGTGGTTTCCTTTTTGTTTTCTAGTGTGGTAAAATGTGATGAAATTTACCACTTTGATTATTGTTGAGCATCCAGTCTATGGCATTCAGTACATTCACATTGTTGGACAGTCATCACCTCCATCTCCGGAACATTTCTATCTTTCTCAGCTGAAACTCTGTCCCGTTAAATAATAGTTCCGCGCCACCATCCCCTCCTGATCCCGGGCACCCGCACTTTTAATCTCTCTCTCTGAATTTGACAACACTAGGGACCTCATGGAGATGGAATCACACAATATCTGTCCTTTTGTAACTGGCTCATTCCATTGAGCATCATGTTTTCAAGGTTCATCTGTGTTGTAGCATGAGTCAGAATGTCCTTCCTTCTTAATGGTAAAGGTAGTATTGTATCGTCTCTCTCTCTATTTTGTTTACCCACTCATCTGTGGATGGACACTCGGGTTGCTTCTACCTTTTGTCTAGTGTGAGCCATGCTCTGAAGGTGGGCACACAAACATCGTCTGAGATTTGCTCTCAATCCTTTGGGGTAAAGACCCAGAGATGGCTCATGTTGAAATTGGTGAGGAACCACCACTGTTCACAGCAGTTACACCACTTTACACTCCCTTCAGCAATGCACAAAGATCCAGTTTCTCCACACCCTTGCCCGCGCTTGTTCTCTTGTTTGTGGTTTGGAGTTGCATTGCTCCAGGGACTAGTCATGTGATGGGTTCTTACGTGCTTATTGGCCATTTGTGTATCTTCTTTGGAGAGACGTCTATTCAAGTCCTTTGCACATTTTTACTGGCATGTTTTCTTTTATCTCACACGTACCACTCGCAGTTATGAACTCTGAGCTGTAGTTCGGGTGTGGCACAGACAGGATAGCTACTAAGGCTGTGGTGGTGGTGGTGGTGGGGGGCAGTGAGCTTCCATTTTTCTTGGAAAGATCAACATTTGCATGTGAAATGAATACTAATCATTGTGTGGTGTCTAACAAGAAAAATCTGCAAGCCACATTGTTCTGCTTTTTTTTCCTCCACAGGAGAAAGATGGGAAGATTTAATTCAAGGCCCTCACTACCCAAATTGTGGGGTGAGATCAAAGGCTACAGAAAGGAATGGGAACCTAGTACCCCTTTCCTTTCCACTAAGGCATGGGTGAGCTGGTTTGTGTGGGGCTGGTAGGTTAGCCTTCAGCCGTTTCCCCCTGGCTAGGACATCACCCTCATCCGTCAGCATCACTCTCATGCCATCACCACCACCATCATTATGGTCCTCATAGTCATTAACATCATCATCACCCCTCTCCGCCTTGCCATCACAATATTAAATACCGTTTCGTTCACTCCTCCATCTGGGGGCTCTTCTTCCTCTCCTCCCTCGTCCTCTTGATTAGCTCCATCTCTATTTTTTGCTTTTGGTTTTTCCTCTGATTCCTCTGGTTCGGGGTCAAAGTTGAAAGTAAAGAAGTTATAGGCTTCTTCAGCAGAAGGGAAGCCAGGTGGGACCTATGGAGAAGCAGAGAGCAATAGGATTTCAGATTTTTTTTTTAAATTAATTAATTTATTTTTGTTACAGATGTGTCTCCTTTTTCCCCCACTGATTTCCCCCCCCACCCGTCCACACCTTTGTTGTCCATGTCCATTGTTCATGCACATATGCATATAAGTTTTGTGGTTTATCTCCCCCTCGCAACCCCTCTTCTGGGGATTGTCAGTCTGTACCCCACTTCCACGTCTCTGGGACTACCCAGTTCCTCAGACTGTTATGCTCATTATATTCCACAAATAAGTGAGATCATATGATACTTGTCTTTCTCTGTTTGGCTTGTTTTGCTTAGGATAATACTCTCCAGGTCCCTCCATGTCGTCTTAAAGGATAAGAGATCTTTCTTTCTTACAGCTGCATAGTACTCCATTGTGTATATGTACCACTGCTTTTTTATCCATTCGCCTACTGATGGACACTTGGGCTGTTTCCAGATCTTAGCTATTGTAAATAGTGCTGCTATGACCATGGGGGTACATATATTCTTTCTGATGGGTGTTTCAGGCTTCTTAGAGTATTTTCCTAGAAGTGGGATCACTGGGTCAAATGGCAGTTCCATTTTTAATTTTTTGAGGTAACACCATATTGTTTTCCATAGTGGCTGCCCCAGTCTGCATTCCCACCAGCAGTGCACTAGAGTCCCCCTTTCTCCACACCCTCGCCAGCACTTGTTGCTTGAGGATTTGTTGATGGCGGGGATGTCAGATTTCATAAGCGGGCCCGAGCTCCGCCCAGCTCCCTGCCGGCTGGCTTGATGCTAACGGCGTCGCCACGCTCTAGGCCTCGGAAGCTGTCACCTGTGTGGAAGGTTCGAGAGTACTGGTAATGAATGAGCTGTAACAAGTGCAAAGGCAGTTGGCGGCCTCCTTAAGTTAATACTTTTAAGGAGTTTCCTTTTTATAAACCAGCTCTTATTTATACTCCCACCAGCACGAAGTGTATTATCTACAGCAGTAAAAGCTTTAGACAGAATGATTAAAATGCCCCAAAGTGGATTCATGGTTTTTATAGACCAGTGCTGAGACAGTTTTATTTAATTATGAGCAATACAACATTCATAAGTTCCCCCTGTTTTAAAGACTTATTATTATTTTTTAGTTGTTTTTGAGTTAGTATCCCTTTGCCCCATATTGAAAGCTGGTGCAACTTCAGAGCTGAACAAGTAGTTTTCTCACCGACATTTCCTGCCCTCCCATGCCTCCCCCTCCTCCTAATCAAGCATTCTGTGAATCTCTCCTGAGCTAGAGCAGAGGATTTTGAAAGTAGGAATGATTCGTCATACTTTTCCCTTGCATTCGGCACAGCAGTAGGAGCCATGTCATGTCTGTTGTCCTCTCTCATTGGGTATTTTTGAAAAACACAAACTGACAAACATGATGCGTGATTTAAAACAAGCGTGATTTAAAAAGCAAAGATTTCTCACCGGGGGTTTAGACTTGACTTTTCGTGCGGAATCGCGGAACTTGACTCTTGCATAACTTTGGGGGTCACCTTCTCGTGGAGTACTTTGAACCTCCGTCCCTGGCTAAGCGAATAAAAAACGACAGAGACACCATGTAAATCCAGAAACAGGATGTTGTGAAACAAGTGTCAACTCCCCAAAGGCTTATCGTGTGACCATCAGTGCAGATCAGCACCCTAAGGAGTGTGATGCTGACAAATGTCAGGTACATTTTAAGGGTAAGTTCGCTGAATATTGTCTTACTCAGCATTGTGTTTCTCAGGACCAAACAAATATACACTTTTGTACTCAATAAACCCTAAAGTGAAAAGCATTATAGTTCCTACAGATCAATAGATTATCCTTCACAGAGGATCATTTCCAAAGAGTCTATGAAAAAGAGTATCGATAACGTCTGATTGGGCCTGGCTGGTGTGGTCAGTGGTTGAGCATCGACCCCTGCACCAAGAGGTCACTGGTTCGATTCCTGGTCAGGGCACATGCCCAGGTTGTGGGCCTGATCCCCAGTGGGGGGCCTGCAGGAGGCCGCCAATCGATGTTCTCTCTCATTGATGTTTCAATCTCTCCTTCTCACTTGCTCTCTCTCTCTAAAATCAATGAAGAAAATTAAATAATGTCTGATTGTAAATAAGTCTGACATACACCCTTCAAGGCACACGGCCTGCCCTCTTGAGCCTTGGGGCCCGCTGTCGCCCTGGAAGCTGAGCCCTCTGTCTGTACTGGCCTGAGGTGCTCACACTCACTGCGGGTGCTCTTCCTCCCCCAGAGAGCCAGTCCACCAGGGGCTCCTCCCACCCTGGCTCCATCTCTCAGACCCACCCCTTCTCGTACCTCACGACTCCATCCAGCAGCCATCAGAGCTTAACCTCCCTGTACCTCCATCGTCTTTTCACACGTCTGTCATCCCTCTGGGCTCCTCAGGGTGCGCGGTTACTATTACCACCAGTTTAGAGCCCACTGGACACCTGGGGGGAGGAGTCTCCCAGGGGTGCTGGCTGGGCAGCAGGTAGGGTGTCAAGGATCAGATCTGAGAGCCTGGGACACTAAACCAGCCCACAGATAGAGACTTCTGGTCCTGTCTGGTGGAGCCGAGTATTCAAATATTCTGTGTCATTTCCACCTTGCTGTTTAAGGGTTCTTGGAGACTTGGGTTTAGCTTTGTTCTTTCCTCAGAAGTCACGGGGAATTAAGTGAAAAGAAATGCAAAAGAGACTAAGCACCATCTGGGTTAGTGAATTTGGGTCACTGACCAGAGCATTCCCAATGGGTTTCTGCTTTTCTCTCCGACGGTACAGCCCGCAACATGAGCTCCTACTTATGTAGAGAGGGCTATCTGTGTGCCAGGCGCCGTTAGACACACTGCAACACGCGTGAACTCACTGAATCCTCCATACAACACCAGGAATTAGGTTCTGGTAGCATCCCCATTTTACAGGGGTGGAGAGTGGCGTCCACAGGGTCAGTGAGTGGCGTGTCCAAGGTCACACAGCTAGCGAGTTGCCAGCATTTAGCGCTGGGCAGCCGAGGTCCAGCATCTGGGTTCTTTGTGCGCTGTGCTCTGCTCCACAGGATGGACACGGACCACTTTTTAGAGATTCCTTCTGGCCTGAGATATATACACAAAGAAACATGTTTGTGAGTGAGATGCTCCATTAGGAATCAGATCTGGTGTAGAGACAAGGCTGTTGATGTTTGCCTCAAACCCGTGGAATGGCTCTCAGGCGGTCGGGAATACAATAGATGTGTAAGTCAGGATCTTGGTCACAAGGAGAAATAAATACCTCGTGAGCTAAGGGAGTCAATTTGTTACTTCCAGAACTTCCAGCTTTATTTGAGACATCACGTTCATGGCCCACGGACAAGGAGAGGTGACGGTCCATCGGAAGGTACAGACAAGACCAGATACGAGAGATCAGCTTCTCCTGTCACTTAACCCACTTGCCCAGACGTTGAGACTCACACACCTGCCAACCTATTTGCAGCATTTCTTCCAAGCGGATGAGACTTTAAGTAGTTTTTCTGAAGTTTCTAATATTTTAAAATTGTGGCTCTTACAAGGGAAAAATAAGTTAGAATTCCAGAAGAAGAAATGTCTGTGCAGGAGAATGCAGTAGCAATGGTGAAAAAGCCATTCATTGGACCCTCTGAGGCTATTAAAGCACCATGGACCACCACACCCGAGCACAGAGGCCGATGTCCTTGCGACCTTGTCATCTTCGGCTCGTTGGGGATGGATAAAAATGAGATGTTTATCACCTCTCATCAGAGGAAAAGCATCATCTAAGAAATCTGTGGTTATATCACATAAACGTTCCCAGAGCCCATGCTCCTTCATCTCCGTGGTGAAAAACAATCAAATGTCATCAGCAGCATCAAACGGCTGGATCAGACTTGCAAACATGAGCTTCAAGGAGCCATTAGCTCTGCGGTTCCTTCCGTTCCTCCTCCTACCCTCCTACATGTGTGTCCTTCCTCCCCATTCCGGCCGCATCTTTCTGTCTTTTGCTGGCTTCCTCTCTGCCTCATAGGTCTTTACTGTAAGTTTTTCTCCGAGGGTCCAGACCGTCCTCATCCAGGCTTCTCTACCCCAGGAAACAAAGGCATTCTCAAACCTTCGAAACTCACCACCGAGGAAGTGCTTCCTCAATGCCTTTCTCCAGGCCTGGTCCTTCCTCTCTCGACGCCCCACCAGCACCTCAGATTCGGACAAAACCCTCCCCAGTGCATTCAAACCGCTTCCCTGTGCTACCATCAACAGCTTTCCGCGGCTTGCGGAGACCCGCCGAGGCTCCTTGGTGGAGCACTCAAGGCCCCCAGCGTCGGACCCTGCTCTTCTCTCTCTCTGATCCCCAGCAAGGTCCGTGGGTCCAGCAGCTCCGACCCACGAGACAGACTGGGAATGAGCCAGAGCTGGGGTCAGACCTGGCTCTCCCGCCGACAGGCTCTGTGACCTGGGGACAGCTTGGCAGCTGCTCGGAACCTCAGGTCCTCACCTGTGAAAAGTGAATGAGGAAAATAGCACCCACCCCTTGACTGGGGTGTTGGGGTAAGGACATGTGATAACATGAGAACAAGACTTGGCAAAGTGCCGGGCACCGAGTATACTCTGTAAATAGTAGCTATTGTAACCATCAGCGAGCATGTAACAGGTCCTCTGTGCATAGCTCTGTTCTAGGACCCCTGCGGGAGTGCATCTTGCTTCTCTGTCTTCCATCGTGAAGCCCAGGGCCCGGTCCTCACCTCCGCGCCAAATTCCGTCTCCAGCTCTTTCTCGCTGGGGCTCCGTAAGCGCCTGGGCCGAGGGGTGGCCATTTCCTGGAGCAACGCACTTTCTGCTTTGGACTGAAAAGTCAAAAGAAAATTACCGCTGCATCGTGTCAGTAACGCTATGAAAACCACAGCTATTGCCCTGGCCAGTTTGTCTCAGCAGTTAGAGCATCAGCCTGCAGACCGAAGGGTTGAGGGTTTGATTCCCAGTCAAGGGCATGTACCTGGGTCGCAGGTTCCATCCCCAGCCCTGGTTGGGATTGTGTGGGAGGCAACCAATCGATGTGTGTCTCTCACATCGATGTTTCTCTCTTTCCCTCCCTCCCTTCCACTCTATCTAAAAATCAATCGAAAAAGATCCTCAGGTGAGGACCAACAAAAAATATTTAAAGAAAACCACAGTCACCCTCTCGGGGGAGCACAGTCAGCAAAAGATACACCTTTACCTCCTTGAGTGATGAGAGCAAGTGAGGAGGTTTAGAAAGTCGACGATGGATTCTTCTTTTTCCCCATTTAAATTTTTTTAAATTTATTTTTGTTACAGATGTTTCTCCTCCCCACCCAGACCTCCTGCTCCCTATCCCGCCCCACCCCCATGCATTGTTGTCTATGTCCATTGGTCTGCGCCGATGTCACATGCTAACATTTAAAAGGTGAAAAACATTCGGCGGTCTTCAGACCCACAGTTCTGAACAAAGGCAGCTGGGGACAGACCGAGGCACCGCCCTGAGCCCCGAACAAAGGATTCACGTGGTCCTCTCACCCTTGCAGCCTGCAATTTCTCCCGCATGCGCTCCCTCATGGAAAACTCCGCGAAGCCCGTTCTGGAAGCCGAAGGAATCGGAGGTAAGCCTAAAACAAGAAAATGGATTTAAAACAACAATTTTTTTTTTTCCGAAGGGAAGACTAGATTAAAAAATAACAAGAGAATGTAGTTTTATTTTGCAGATGTAGAACTTTGCACAAGCAATCATGAAGTGACGCCGACAGCGTCCATTTGATGTAACAAGTCCATGTCTGGGCTCCTTCGAGATCAACAGGGACACGTCACATCGATGTCACTAAGAAGGAAATGAATGACATTTGCCTATTCAAGGCCATTGGGAAGAAGATCTCACCTTTGCTGATTTGGGAAACAGGCTTGTCAGATAACTGGATGATGAATAGATAGCGAATGAATTCGGGGTTTCAGGGTTCAACTCAACAGCACTGATAACTTCAGTCAGAGAAACCCTTCCTACAGACTCAGGCCCTGGCCCTGGGCTATGTCATAGAGACAACATATACTTTGTACATGTACACATCTATGCACAGCCTGCAGTGTGCAGCTGTTCTGTGTCGGGCACTGAGATACACGTGTCGGGTGCATTTTCTCATCAAGCGGACGTGCTCCTGCTGGAGGGACCGGGGGTGTTATCTATCGCCAGGCACCTGGGATCTGAGTTCCTCCGTGATAAGTGACTGGCTATGGCTACACACCAATGATGCGGAATGCACCCCAGTTTCTCGTTCCCAAATGCTCTAAGCCATTATGAAAGAGGTGTAAATGAAACGAAGTGTTTGGGGAACAAGATGTCACCGATTTGGAGCAGACGGGCTCTACTGAGATGAAGTAGGAGATACGATGGCCGAAGGACTTTGGGGTCCAGTTATGGGGAGGCTGTGACGTTCCATTGGAAGTCTAGCCTGTTCTCCAAGCAGTGGGGATGACTTAAAGAATGTAGAGAGAGGGGCACCTGCAGTCCAGGATGGTTGGGGTGGAGGCCTCAGCGGGGCCTGTGGAGGAGAAACAAGGAGAAGACAGCAGGACTCAGTGAGGACCAGGCATGGTGCGGCGGTTCTCACAGCAGCGGCCCCTCCTGGGCACCTGTTAGACATGCAGATTCTCAGGCCCAGACCTGCTGAATCGGGTGCTGGAGGCGGAGCCCAGCAAACGAGGAGATTGAAGCACCCACTCAAGAGGGGGGACGGTGGTTCACAGAAAGAAGAGGAAAGGGAAGCTGTCTGAGGTTTTGACGAAGGCAATTAGGGGTTTAAAGCTGATGAGAGACAAAGAAATGAGGAGAGAGAGCCAAAGTGGGAGACACTGCAGTGAATTTATTTGGAGATGGGATGAGGATGTGGGCTGGCAGAGGTGGAGTGTGGGCCCGCCCAGCAGAGGTGTAGCTTGGGCCCGCCCAGCAGAGGTGGAGCGAGGGCCCGCCCAGGAGAGGTGGAGCGAGGGCCTGCCCAGCAGAGGTGGAGCGTGGGCCCGCCCAGCAGAGGTGGAGCGAGGGCCCGCCCAGCAGAGGTGGAGCGAGGGCCCGCCCAGCAGAGGTGGAGCGTGGGCCCGCCCAGCAGAGGTGGAGCGAGGGCCCGCCCAGCAGAGGTGGAGCGAGGGCCCGCCCAGCAGAGGTGGAGCGGGGCCCGCCCCGCCCAGCAGAGGTGGAGCGAGGGCCCGCCCAGCAGAGGTGGAGCGTGGGCCCGCCCAGCAGAGGTGGAGCGAGGGCCCGCCCAGCAGAGGTGGAGTGGGCCCGCCCAGCAGAGGTGGAGCGTGGGCCCGCCCAGCAGAGGTGTAGCTTGGGCCGGCCCAGCAGAGGTGGAGCGAGGGCCTGCCCAGCAGAGGTGGAGCGAGGGCCCGCCCAGCAGAGGTGGAGCGAGGGCCCGCCCAGCAGAGGTGGAGTGAGCCCGCCCAGCAGAGGTGGAGTGAGCCCGCCCAGCAGAGGTGGAGCGAGGGCCCGCCCAGCAGAGGTGGAGCGAGGGCCCGCCCAGCAGAGGTGGAGCGAGGGCCCGCCCAGCAGAGGTGGAGCGAGGGCCCGCCCAGCAGAGGTGGAGTGAGGGCGCACCCAGCAGAGGTGGAGCGAGGGTCCGCCCAGGAGAGGTGGAGCGAGGGCCCGCCCAGCAGAGGTGGAGAGAGGGCGCACCCAGCAGAGGTGGAGCGAGGGCCCGCCCAGGAGAGGTGGAGCGAGGGCCCGCCCAGCAGAGGTGGAGCGAGGGCCCGCCCAGGAGAGGTGGAGCGAGGGCCCGCCCAGCAGAGGTGGAGTGAGGGCCCGCCCAGGAGAGGTGGAGCGAGGGCCCGCCCAGCAGAGGTGGAGCGAGGGCGCACCCAGCAGAGGTGGAGCGAGGGCCCGCCCAGGAGAGGTGGAGCGAGGGCCCGCCCAGCAGAGGTGGAGCGAGGGCCCGCCCAGCAGAGGTGGAGTGAGGGCGCACCCAGCAGAGGTGGAGCGAGGGCCCGCCCAGGAGAGGTGGAGCGAGGGCCCGCCCAGCAGAGGTGGAGCGAGGGCCCGCCCAGGAGAGGTGGAGCGAGGGCCCGCCCAGCAGAGGTGGAGCGAGGGCCCGCCCAGGAGAGGTGGAGCGAGGGCCCGCCCAGCAGAGGTGGAGCGAGGGCCCGCCCAGCAGAGGTGGAGCGTGGGCCCGCCCAGCAGAGGTGGAGCGAGGGCCCGCCCAGCAGAGGTGGAGCGAGGGCCCGCCCAGCAGAGGTGGAGCGTGGGCCCGCCCAGCAGAGGTGGAGCGAGGGCCCGCCCAGCAGAGGTGGAGCGAGGGCCTGCCCAGCAGAGGTGGAGCGAGGGCCCGCCCAGCAGAGGTGGAGCGAGGGCCCGCCCAGCAGAGGTGGAGTGGGCCCGCCCAGCAGAGGTGGAGCGTGGGCCCGCCCAGCAGAGGTGTAGCTTGGGCCTGCCCAGCAGAGGTGGAGCGAGGGCCTGCCCAGCAGAGGTGGAGCGAGGGCCCGCCCAGCAGAGGTGGAGCGAGGGCCCGCCCAGCAGAGGTGGAGTGAGCCCGCCCAGCAGAGGTGGAGTGAGCCCGCCCAGCAGAGGTGGAGCGAGGGCCCGCCCAGCAGAGGTGGAGCGAGGGCCCGCCCAGCAGAGGTGGAGCGAGGGCCCGCCCAGCAGAGGTGGAGCGAGGGCCCGCCCAGCAGAGGTGGAGTGAGGGCGCACCCAGCAGAGGTGGAGCGAGGGTCCGCCCAGGAGAGGTGGAGCGAGGGCCCGCCCAGCAGAGGTGGAGTGAGGGCGCACCCAGCAGAGGTGGAGCGAGGGCCCGCCCAGGAGAGGTGGAGTGAGGGCCCGCCCAGCAGAGGTGGAGCGAGGGCCCGCCCAGGAGAGGTGGAGCGAGGGCCCGCCCGGCAGAGGTGGAGTGAGGGCCCGCCCAGGAGAGGTGGAGCGAGGGCCCGCCCAGCAGAGGTGGAGCGAGGGCGCACCCAGCAGAGGTGGAGCGAGGGCCCGCCCAGGAGAGGTGGAGCGAGGGCCCGCCCAGCAGAGGTGGAGCGAGGGCCCGCCCAGCAGAGGTGGAGTGAGGGCGCACCCAGCAGAGGTGGAGCGAGGGCCCGCCCAGGAGAGGTGGAGTGAGGGCCCGCCCAGCAGAGGTGGAGCGAGGGCCCGCCCAGGAGAGGTGGAGCGAGGGCCCGCCCAGCAGAGGTGGAGCGAGGGCCCGCCCAGGAGAGGTTGGAGCGAGGGCCGCCAGCAGAGGTGGAGTGAGGGCGCACCCAGCAGAGGTGGAGCGAGGGCGCACCCAGGAGAGGTGGAGCGAGGGCCCGCCCAGCAGAGGTGGAGCGAGGGCCCGCCCAGGAGAGGTGGAGCGAGGGCCCGCCCAGGAGAGGTGGAGCGAGGGCCCGCCCAGCAGAGGTGGAGCGAGGGCCCGCCCAGCAGAGGTGGAGCGAGGGCCCGCCCAGCAGAGGTGGAGCGAGGGCCCGCCCAGCAGAGGTGGAGCGAGGGCCCGCCCAGGAGAGGTGGAGCGTGGGCCCGCCCAGCAGAGGTGTAGCGAGGGCCCGCCCAGCAGAGGTGGAGCGTGGGCCCGCCCAGCAGAGGTGTAGCTTGGGCCTGCCCAGCAGAGGTGGAGCGAGGGCCTGCCCAGCAGAGGTGGAGCGAGGGCCCGCCCAGCAGAGGTGGAGTGGGCCCGCCCAGCAGAGGGGGAGTGAGCCCGCCCAGCAGAGGTGGAGCGAGGGCCCGCCCAGCAGAGGTGAAGCATGCACCTGCCCAGCACACCGAGCTTGGGAAGGGTGCAGGCCTGAAGATAAAGGCTCAGCGAGCATGCTCACGGTCGTGAATGCTGACGTGAGAAAGCCTTGCTGACCCTGGTAGCCATCAGTACTGTTCAGGGAGGAAGGCTGCCAAGTGAGGAAAAAAGAGGAAACGAGGTATTTCAGTAGAAGGTGGAGGACGAGTGGCGGAGGGAAGGGAGTGAAGTGATGACAGGCAAAGGCCTGTTTGCAATGGATTGCAGGTCCCTGGGCACCTGCTTTATGCAAAAGAGGACCATAGTCACGGGCTGCAACGCGTCTGCCCATGTCCACCTGGTCTCTGAGGCTGTGCTGTCTTCCTTCTGTGTGACAGGACGGGATAAAATTCTATGTATATCTGGCCTCAGTCCTGTCACTTATTCGGTGCCTGCATGGAGCCATGATGTCATCATCATAAGGGTTACAGTCTAGCATGTGTGGGCTGAGGTTCATGTTCTTAAGAGAATCTTGATCAGCTCAATGATGAAAAGATGCTCAGTGTCACTATACATCAAATAAATGCACATTAAACCCACAATGGGATATCGCCTCCCACCTGTCAGAATGGCCACCATCAATAAGTCTACAAACAACAAGCACTGGGGAGGATGCGAAGAAAAGAGGAACCTCGTGCACTGTTGGTGGGAATGCAGACTGGAACAGCACTGTGGAAAGCAGTCTGCGGTTCCCTCAAACAGTTAAAAACAGGACTGCATTATGACTGAGCAATTTCGCTTTGGGGAATATATCTGAAGAAACCTGAAACACTATTTTGAAAGAACACATGCACCCCAATGTTCATTGCAGCATTATTTACAATAGCCAAGATTTGGAAGCGCCCAAGTGTCCATCAGAAGACGAGTAAATGAAAAGCGCTGGCCTG